CCATGGCACATCTTGGAGATACATCAGTCTTGTGATAATCTTTTACAAGTTCCGTAGCCAACAAAAGATAACTTTTAATCGATTCGCAATGATTTTAGAAATCACTTTGTAAATCACATTACAACAAGAGATAGGGCGGTAATCTTTCATCTCTGTGGCATCGTTCTTCTTCGGAATAAGGGCCAATATGGTCGTATTCACCCATTTAGAAAGAAAACCTTTAATAAAAAAAGATTGAACTGCAACTGTGAAGTCCTTGCCCACTGTACTCCATGCTGTTTTAAAGAACTCCGATGTATAGCCATCGAGACCTGGCGATTTGTTCATCCTACCTTCAACCGTAACTTAACTTTTTGATACAAGACAATCTGTTTTTGAAGTTTTTTCTTATTATATTACTCTGCTTTTTTAAAGCCTTTTAATCTAGAACAGGCTTCTTGGCTCACAAGGAAGAGGTAAAACTATAATATCTCAAATAGTCGAGGATTCTAAAAGAGACATCCTTTGTAAAATTCTATAGTAAAATATTTTCTATATTATGTTTGAGGATTTTTGAATCAGCGAAAATGAGGAAACAGATGTAAGAATTGAGTAGAACCTTCAAGGCTTAAATCCTAAAGAATGTATTGATGCGATCAAAAGTGTGGAAGGTTGTTTCGATGGGATATTCAAAGGACATTTTGGTGACTTGCAACTTGACGCATATCTTACCTAGAAAAGAAAATCATAAAATTTTATGATATTCATTAAAAACAGAATTAATTATAAGTACTTGATTTTTTCAAGATTTCTGATCCGTACCAAATTACATGCTAATGAGCCATGCAATGTCTTCCTCATTAAGGAAATGAATTTTTTTTTGCTATGATAATAGGTATCATAGCACAACAAACAACGCCAAAAGTGATTACACACCCTATTACCTTATTTTGTAAGGTACCTTCAATTTCAGCATTCATGTACTTCTCCTTCTCGTCTTCTTCTTTCCTCTTCTTTGTCTTCATTTTTTCAGCTTCTCATTCTTTCTTCTTCTTTCCTCTTCTTTGTCTTCATTTTTTCAGCTTCTCCTTCTCTTCTTCTTCTTCTTTCCTCTTCTTTCCTCTTCTTTCCTCTTCTTTCCTCTTCTTTGTCTTCATTTTTATCTGTTTTAAGTAAGGGTCAACACTGGAGGAAGATTGGCTTCTTTCACTACAGCTACTGCATTATCCCTCTATTGAATCAGCTCATATAATATGTACAATCTTTGCATGTTAGTATTATGGTGGACATTGTCAATAACAAGTGATTTAATATTCTCATGAATAGAATCATGAGGTGAGACCAGCTAAGAAAAAAAAAGTTAAACAAGTTCTAAATGAGACATCCATTGTAATATTGTATGGTAAACTATTTTCTATATTATGTTTGAGGATTTTTGGAGTTAAGGAAGCAGAAAATTTTGGAAGACTCCTTTTGATGTTAGATTGAAGAAGAGATTGTGATTCTGTTTCTATGTAGACAAAGAATCCCAGCATAAGTAACTATCTGTTTCTCCACACAGGTAACTTCCAAATTTAATAAAATAAAACACGATTGTATGCAATGATATTAGAAATTAGTCAAATGAGTCAAAAGGAAAGAGGAAAGACAAGACTCAGTAATCAAACAATGTATCAACCAAATTGTTAAGCAAAGAAACAATGGATCTACTTGAAGGAGTTCACCTAGTCAAGCCTTAGCTACAGCCTAGCTATAGGTCTACGATAAGTCTATAACTTACCCTAGGACTGAATGTATCAGATTATTCGGTTCTTGATACCTTTAATTTTCTGGTTTACAGAATTATCGTGTTTAGCTCTTTGGTGTCAAAGTTCCAAGTATGCATCTTTGAGTTAAAACAAAAGTCAGTCGATGTCCAAGTAGTTGGTCTTTTACCCTAGCGTAAAATTTTTTTCTTTTAAGTTTACATTTTTCTTTTGAGATTAAAATTTCAGTTAGTTACTATCAATATTCAATACCGTTATTAGATTTTACAAACCCGTAGATACTTGAGGTACCATTCCCAAACTTCCGTTTTTGATAAACTGTAGATGGGACAAGCAACATAAAACAAAGTACACGAATCTAAAGCTCATATGAAAAAACAAAGTAACCTGAAACAAAAGCTAAGGTGACAGATGTTTAGGATTATATATTAACGTAGTAAGTGTTGTCACTAGTCATGGTGTTGACATAAAAGAAACCAGAACTATTTTGATGATATATGCTTGGTATAGAGTATAAAAAATTAGCAAGACATACATCTTACAGAATATAAAGAGTTGGATAGATAGTGACTTAAAATTAGCGTGAAAATTATAAACCCCTAGTAGGGCTCTGGTACTCCAAAAACTACGTACTTACCTTGTTGAATTTGAACCAAAGACGGCACATAACTGAGAAGAAATGAACAAGATGTTTTCGAACCATGAAAATTCACTTGGATGTATCTATCCTCTGACACAATGTGCAAGAAGTTGTTGGGGACCATCTCGTTATCGTAGCACACTAAAACTTTGCTCTGCTCGTCGACCATGAAACTCATCCAGGGAGAAAACGCATAATCCGGTTTGGCTGTTAGGAACTTGATCCATGACATGACTTCGGTGCTCTCAATCTTAGATGCTATCCATATTTCTAATGGATTGACGCCTAGTAGACAAAGTTGGTTCTCACTAACAAGTGATAAAGCCACAACAGAGTCATGAGGAAGATAGTGAGTTTGGAATCTCACTGTGGAAAAATCAAAACTTATTAAGGTATTAGACAGACTGGTATTAGGTGGCCGGTGTCGACTATGAGCAAGCCAGTAAGTATTTTCGCTCACAGACACACCACGACAGTGACTCCAAGCTATGAACCAGACGGTAGTCACACCAACAACACTCCAGGAGTTAGAGGTAAAATCATAGATTTCGTTAGCAGTTTGAAATAGGTCACCACGGACAAATCGATCCATCCTTATGATTTTATAGCAAGAGGATTTGCTATCGTAACCAAGAGCAAAGTGATCAGTTTTATAGTAGGACTTTCTAGGTTGAATCCACTTGATTTCCCCTGAAACCGGATTCCAAACCACAAGTCTATCGTCCTGGGTGGTACATAATAATAAGCGTTACAGTGAAAGATGTTGCGTATATCAACTTCTTCCGAAGAATCAGAAAGAGGATCTTTTAGGCTAAATTGACGTGTAAGCTTTCTAGATGGAGCAACGTCGTTTTCTTGAGTTCCAAGGAGATTGATGCTCACTAAATAAACCCTAAAATCAATCAACATGATAGCCAAAGATTGCCTTGGAGCAGAGTGTTTCTTCGAAAGTAATTCATCTTTGACCAGAGCGTTCCAACCTTTGGATGTAGATCGGATTCGAGCCAGCGATAGCGTCGGAACCCAGAGAGTATTTCCACTAACAAATCCTCCGGAAGATCTACATTTTTTCTCTGATTCATTATCTCGGACTCGGAATTGAACGACTGTACGTAGTTAGAAATTTAGAGTTGAATAATTAAACAAAACGAGCGATCGAGATATTGGAGAGAAAAAGAGTGCAAGCAAGCGAAGGCTTTGAAGGTTGCACCTAAATATTAGAAAAACTTGTGAATCTTAAAAAACAAACAATCATCAATACTTAATACTTCATACAGGGCCGGCCCAAACTCATCTGGCGCCTAAAGCACATTCTAAAATGATGCCCTTTGATCATAACAAAGTTTTTTTGTTCCATTCTTTTTAAATAAATAATTAAAATAATACAAAATATCATTAACACTTATTTTTTTAAGATCTAAAAATATTTTCAACAAATCTATGGAAAATTTTGAAAAATATTGTTTTACTTAACAAAAAAAAAATAACAAATAAACATTAAAGTCTCGACAACGATCATTTTGAAATTAACTTTAGTTTATAAAAATTCATCAAATCTCTCAACTTTTTTTAAACATGAGAGAACATTAGAACCCAACAAGAACTTATGTTTCCAAAATGACAGAAAGTTCTGAAAAAAAACTGAAAATTTTAACGAAAAGAAAAATATGAGAAATAAGAGATGAAGAAGAAAACATACATGAATAGAAGGCAAAACAATAGCGATTTAGAGGAATTGTGAGAGTCGCAACAAAATTTTGATGATGAAAGAATAAAGAGAAGATGATTTTTTTGTCTAGGCTTTTAAAAAAATAGTTATTTTATAATTTATATTATTTAATTAAAGTAAAGTAAACGTGTCAAAAACAGGAAATAAAATCCTTATTGTTTGAGACAAAGGAAAAAAATGAAGAAGAAGGAAGAATTGGAATTCGAACCCAACATCTGTAAGGAGATGATAAGCAATTCAGACAACTATACGAAAATTCAGACAACTATACGAAAGGAAGATAATTGAAATTGATGCCCCAAAATTACTTATATTATTTGGCGCCTAAAGCATTTGCTTTATGAGCTTCGCCCCAAGGCCGGTTCTTCATACGTAGATTATGCATTATTAGGGATCCGGCCCGTTTGGCCCGCCCCGCTGAAGAAATCCATAATTTATATTTTTTAGATTGGTTAAAATGACATTGACCCGTTTAAAATATAATTTGGTTCCTTGAAGCCATGTCTTGGTCATCTTCTTTCTTCCTTATTCTTTCTACAGCAATTGACTCTTAAAGATAAGACTAGCCATGGCTGAGAAGGTAACATCACCAATAGTACTTAAATCTGCTCCATAGCCTCCATTGAACAAGTTTATGGCATAGCTTTTCCTCTTTGAAACTTGACGATTCTCCGATTTCCATCACCAGAGCCTAATCGTTTAACCCTGTTTAAATTTGTTTCATATACGAGCCTAAAGAGTAAGTTTGTCTAAGCTCGCTAACTGTAAGCCCTAGTTAACATCTCAACACTAGAGTGCCAGTCAAAGTTGTCACTAAACCTAAAGAAGGCATCATGATACCCTTTTGGTCTTAATCGTTCATTACAATTTTACAAAAAGCAGAAAATCAGAGAGATAAAAAATAAAGGCAGCTCGTTCTCTTTCTGCAATGTGATGACATAATGCAACAGTACATGTTTTTTCGGCATTATTGAGCAAGAGTATGATAAATCCCCTGCTTGCTCGGAAGAAAAAGGGAAAACCAAAAAAAAAAAAATCTCTCTCTTGACTTTCCAGAGAATAAATCCTGTCTTGAAATGATTTAACACACAAACAAAAACAACCTGAGACGGGTGAATCAGTAATGTGTAGTCGGAACCCTGGTGGTAGTTTTTTCCGGTAAGACATTATCGGGAAGAATCAACTCGGCTGGAGTTTCACGGACAATCCCAAGCATTGAATCGTAATCCTCATCCTTGCGTGCATACTTCTTCCTAAGCGCTCTCTCAACCTCAATCTCATCAAACGACTTTGAATTCTCCGCTGCGTGAATATGTGCGAGATTGATGTAGTTCTCTGCTGACTTTGAGATATATTCAATCTCTTCATCTGTTAACTTTCTCATGAACTTTGCCGGGTTTCCTCCCCACACCTGCCATATCAATTGATGATAACTTGTAGATATCTCCATTGCATATATATTCTCAATTTGATGGTTGAAGAAAGTAGTTCAAATGAAACACGATTTGTAGGTATAGCATTTAAGTAACCAACAGTGTCTACTTGAAGAAGTACAGCTAGTGACGCCATAACTGTAGATCTATTATAGCTACCCTATTACTGAATGCAGCAGATTATATGGTGCTGCTTGGTTAGCTACCAGTTAGTGAGGGCTTGGATTGGGGCCTTTTAGGCTTGGGACAGATTCTGGGTTCTCGTTAACAAAACCTAGGGTTCGATCGTTGGTTCTTGATACCTTTAATTCTCTGGTTGTAATCAATCTAGACTGTAATGAAGCAGTTTCCGATTCCAGTCTTAACACAAACCAAGTAAAGCGGTAAACCACAAAAATAAAATAAAAGTGAGCAGGAAGAAACCTCTCCAGAAGGGATTCGAGTGTTCTCTTTCACAAGGGCAGCAGCAGCAACCATGGCATGTTTCTCAACCACGACACCATCGAGTAGTGTAGCTCCCATGCCAACAAAGGCCTCGTCCTCAACAGTACACCCATGTATGACAGCACTATGACCTGCTCGGTTTCATTTTACAGACAATATATATATAACAACCATGCGACACAACATAAAACAGATATTCTCAGAAACTGAAAAGTCGCTTATTAAGGTTTACCTACTGTAACATTGTCCCCAATTATAGTAGGTTGAACCTTCCCACTTAGGTTGGTTTTTGCAACATGTACAAGAGAATTGTCCTGGATATTCGTCCCGGATCCAACACTGATGTTATTCACATCACCTGCACAAGTTAATACCCCATATCATATATACAATGAGGTTCCCAGCTTCTTCATGATATTTCATCAACAGTACACTAAGCCTAGAACCAAGGATATCCGGTGAAAACCAACAAAGATGATCAGGACAGTAACCAATAACAGAGCAATATCGAGATTAAAAGGCAAAGAAAACTTCATTCCCTCTTAACTAGTTTCACATTAAAAAGTCTTACCAAACGAAACTACTAGATTTGTATTACGATTCAGTTGGATTTTCCTTAGCACTATTAACAGTTGAGGCAAACAGAAGACTAAACTGTGACTAATGTGCACGAGCTTGTACAGTACAATGCTGCAAATTTGGTACCAAACGCCTTCAAATCTCGAAAATCTTGTTTAAAGTCAAAGACTTTCTCTATTCCCTTATAGTTAGTGGAAAAGAAAAATCAAAAAGCCTCACCTCGAAGAACACACCCATACCAAATGGAGGAGCGTTTCCCGATCTGAACATCACCAATAACAGAGGCACTCGGAGCCACGAACACATCTTTATCCACCAATGGAGATTTATCAAACACATTCATCAACGTCCGATGCCTCGATACTGAAAAGCAAATCGATCCCGATCAAACCCAAAAAATTTCCCGAATCGAAGTTATCAATCTAACCATAAACACCGAGAATCAGGGCAATGGTAACAGAATTCGTCCTGGTGAGGTCACAAATTAGAGAAATGGATTGGATCTAGGGTTCAAAAACTGGCTTACGGTGTTCCTGGAAGTAGGGGCTCCCTTGAAGACGAGAACCGACGCGATCAAGAGCTTGGCCAGTCCCGCGGATCCAGTTACCCACAGTGTAAATTGCTCGTCCTAGGGTTCCCATTTTCGATAGCCAAAGAGAAGAAGAGAGAAAGCGATTTCTCTTGAAATGAGTCGCTCTTGAGGTTTATGGAGGCGTTTTGGGGCTAATGTGTTGTGGATTTTTGCTCAAGTGAATTCTTTGTTTTGTTGAACCAAACCAGATCATAGATAACCTGAACCAAAGGTTTAACGTAAAACCAAATAAATCGAATCGAATGTAAAAGAACTGAGGACGATTATTTTAAACCTAACCGAACAAACCAAAAGATGTGGATCTTGCCATGGCGGATGTACAAGAATGGATTTGCTACAAGGAACAATAAAGAACATCACCCTTCGATGATATCCACCAGCGACTCTCGAGTTTCGTCATGGATTCGGCCTAGTGTGGAAACACTTAAATGCAATTACGATGCAGCTTATGACCTGAATTCAAAGAGAGTTATAGGTGGATGGATTGTCCGTAACCATTTGGGGTACGCAAAAAGTTGGGGGTCAGTTAATCTTGGTCTTGCCCTAACAAGTCTTGAAGCAAAGGGTAAGGCATTGTTATCAGCAATGCAAAATTCTTGGAGCAGAGGATATACTGATATTCAGTTTGAAGGTGACTGTCAAGTGCTCGTGGATATTTTACATGATGTAAAAGAGGACTTCCAAATGTACAACTTAGTTACCGACATTAAACTATGGAAGAATAGATTTCACCAAATAAGCTTCTTACATGTTAAGAGAGATGCAAACTCTGTTGCTCATAAATTAGCTCGTAAAGGCCCGTACAATAACGTTTTCTATTCTGATTGTATGTATTTACCTATTTGGTTAACTGAAACTTTGTATTCTGACTTTGTTATGTCAAATTAATATATTCATTTTCGTCGGAAAAAAAAAACAAACCAACATTTATTAACAGCAAATATTTAATTTTAAGTATATAAAACATATAATCATGTATATCTTATTTTACTAAAATTCAAAAGCAATAATCTATAGATTTATTGAAATTGAGATTTCGCTAAAAGATTCTATTAATTTTAAGAACTAGGGTTGAGTCTCACGCAGATTTTAACATATGTTCATGTTTATATATGCTATTTCTTAAATTAGTTTGTTTGATAAATTTATTTTCTTAGTTTAATAAATAATTTTTATGGTTTGTATTATGTTAACAATGACTGTGTTCTGTTAGTTATTTTTAATAGTGTTTCTATATAACAACAAATTTCTCTCTCTTTATTTTCATATTCTCATAGTTTGTTATTTAAATTTTTTGTTTTTTTTTTCTCATCTTTAAATTAGAATTTATTTTATTTTATTTAATTTGTACTAAATATACGAATTATTAATATAAATATACATATATTAAATGCATATTTTACATATATTTTAATGTTAAAATTTGTGGGTTTAGATTTTTATCATATTTCATTTTTAAATGGGGTACTTGCACAAATAACCCACAATTTGAAGTCAAATGCAAAAGTAACATCTTTTTTCTCCCTCTTTAATAAATGCCACTTTCTCCCTACTATCTTCTTACAACCACATATATTCACAAAAATGCCATTATGTTTTTAATTTTTGTTTTTTCTTAAAAATACTAAAAAGACACAAATATCCTAAAATATATCATTTATTTACGAAAATGCCATCTTCTTCAATTTTGCCAACCACCATTACCAACCAGTTTTGAAGCTCTAAATGTTTGCCCAACCAATTTTGAAGCCTTAAATGCTTATTGTATCGCTTATAACTTCATTTTACCTACAAATTTCTCTCCAATTTTATCTAAAAAACTCTTTCATGCTCATTTTTATAAATTCCAATTTCATAAATCATCTATTTTGGAGATTCTTGCATAACAACGACTTAGCTAGTTTGTTATCGGTGCTATACAAAATTTTGGGTGTTTGTCAAAGTTAATCGAGTTTAAATTGGAAGTAGGTAAACATCTACTTCATTTTCTTTAACATTTAGCTCTGTTTCGCGAAAGCAGACCTTTTTTTCAGTCTGCAGAGGTTAGATTTGCAATTGACTTTTTTTTTTTAATATTTGTGTAAGCAGGCGAATTGTCCTTTGTAAACAAAAAAATCATGTAGACTTCTTTTGCAGTCTGCGAGAAGAAAATGTTATTTTTGCATTTGACCAAAAAAATTGAAGAACTTTGACTTTTATTTAGAAGTCTGCTATTTCGTAATTTGACTCGAGAGGTTATTTTTGCAATTGACCAAGATTTTGACCACTTTTGACTTCTTTTAGAAGTCTGCTATTTATTTAATTAAGATTCGGTCAAATGCAAATCTGACCTACAAGCAGACTGTTAAAGAAGTCTGCTTCGAAAGTCAACCTTTTGGTCAATTGCAAAAATAACCTTGAGTAAACTTCTTTTGTAGAGTAGACTTCATAAGCAGACTTCTTTACTATAGCAGACTTCTTTACTATAGCAGACTTCTTTTACTCGTCAGCAGACTTCTTAAGAAGTCTGCTCTAAAAGTCAAACTTTTGGTCAATTGCAAAAATAACCTTTTCTTCTCGCAGACTGCAAAAAGAAGTCTACTATGAAAAGTCAAATATTTGGTCAAATGCAAAAATAATTTTTTTTTAGAAGACTTCAACGTGAAATTTCCCCGGCGGATTTTGAACGGATGTCTGTATTTTTAAAAATTTTTAAAATGCATTTTATAAAGTATTTGTAATGTTTTTTTTTAATTTAAAATTGTAAATGCATTTTATGTATGATTCTTGCACCTATATGAGTTTGGTGTGTTTATGTGTTATAATTATAAAGTTATGAATTTTTTTTGGTTTGAAAGGTAATTAGCACATCTAAGCAGACTTCTAAAGAAGTCTGTAGATGAAGTCTACTGTTACGTATTAGCATATCATAGCAGACTACATAAGAAGTCTGCCTAATTATTTTTCTTAAAAATTCATTTTTGAAATATTTGTTACTTGTAAAAATGATTTTCTTGTTTTGACATGTTTATTTGTTTTTTGTGTTGCATCTATATGAGTTTGACGTTGTTATGTGTTATAATTACAAAGTAATGAATTTTCTTGTTTGATTTATCTATTTTTGCAGACTTCTAAAAAAGTTTAGAAGTCTACTTCCTTTCAATTATTTTTATTTGTTATTGTTCTTGCATTTGTATAAGTTTGAAAAATCAGTTATTCTTGCATTTACCTGTCATGGTTTGTCCTCAACTTTAACTATTGGCCACTTTTGTTAACGGTCTTGATAGTATATAAATTACTTTATTAACGCATACAACGTTAACAAACTCTTGTGGTCTGGTGGAAACAGACCCACTTGTTGCCCAAAGTACGTGGGTTCGAACCATTATACTTCCAATTTTGGTTATTCTTTTTGTTTTTAAAAAGGGCATAATTATAATTTTGTTTTCATCTTCTATCTAGGTTTTTCGAGTTCTGAAACTCTTTTTCGTGGCTGCAAGCCAATTTTTTCACATAATCAATCAGTTTTTTGCATTATTCTTAGTATTCTCACCTAAATCTTATAGATCTGGCATACATATATTGATTTCAAGTCTTAAACGAAGAAAAAAAAAATTTTCAAAGAATTTGATTTCAAGTCTTAAACGACTAATCGGTCTTGGCGGCCGCTTTTTTGAACATGGGATACAAACAATGGATCCGAGAGAAAGAAAATAAAATAGGAAAATGATGAGAACAATACACTGGAAAAAGCCTCTGTGAAAAAAAAAAACAAAAAACTTAAAAAAGAAAGGGACTAATCTAAGAAAGAAATCAGCTTGTGGTCATGAATGGAATTGCTCTGATGACAAGCTGTTGGTAGAGAGCCATAAGAGTTGCACCAACGAATAGTCCCACCCAGAAAATCCACTGCAATAACAAAGAAAACGACCAAAATAGCATTAGAAGAAGATGAAATCAACAAAAATTTGTAAAATAATTAAATGGGACAGATTCTTACGTAGTCGTCCCAAGCTTGGTCCTTGTTGTAGATGATTGCAGATCCGAACTCAAGTGAACGAAGAACATAGCAAAAATGGAGAGCAGCAAGAAAGAGGATTACAGCAACAAAGAAAATGCAGCGCCGTTTTTGGAGAGAGGGATCAAAGTGGAGAGTTTCTGATTTAGGGTAAAATCTCATTTATATAACAGGGCAAAAATATCCGGTTATATCTGGTTAGATTAATTATTTCCGGTTTAAATCAATATTTTATTTTAATTTCGTTTACGGTTTGAGCAGACTTATAAAGAAGTCTACAATCCTACTTTAAAATTATTCACTTTTGATGTTTATCTTAGATGGTTTAAAATGATTTATTTTTATTAAATTATAATTTATATAGATCATACTTGTTGACATTTGATTTATAGAAACAAATTTCAGTTTAAATTATTTTTATATAATTTTAAATTTTAAATATAAGATTTAATAATATAGCGGACTTCTTATAAGTCTGCTCTGCAGACTTCATTAATATTTGCAGACTTCGCAGGGTTAAACTGTCATAGAGCCCTCCGTTTTTTTGTTTACTCATGTAGGAGATAATAATAATTTCTCTACCCCTTTGACCTATTTTTGCAATAGGTTGAATTTGGGGTATACTTTTGCATTTGCATTCAAATTGTGGCCTATTTTTAGCAATCCCCCCTTTTTAAACAGCTATTTCATCATATTCTTTTTCTTATTTTTTCTTGATTTTATTAGACTTTTTTTTCCATCATCATATTAACATAGTATATTATTTTCATTTTCAGTCTCCTTTCTCATCTTCAACATTTTTGTCTTTGTATTTTCTGATATTCTGTTTTACCAGCTTTGTGTTTTTCTTCCTCTTCTTCTTTATCTTTTTTTTTTTCATCTTCATCTTCATCTTCTTTGACTTCTATTTTTTCTTTTTTTTCTTCTTTCGGTTTTTTTTTCATCTTTTTTTTCTGATTTTGTTTGTCTCTTATTTTTAGTATCTCTTATATGTATTTTTCATCTTCACCTACATGCTTTTCTTTATATTTTGATTTTTTTTCCTCATTTTTTTCTTATTCTTTTCCATCGCCTTGAGTTTCATTTTCATCATCGTCTTTTTCTTTAACTACTTTTTATTATTTTTCCCAGCTTTTACTCTGCTTCTTCTTGATAAAAAATAATGATTAT